GTACAAACTTGGCTCACTTTGGAGCAGATCCATGTTCCTTAAAGTAAAAAGGAAAAAAAAAAAAGCGTGGAATGATACAGGACCAGGGATATATCTATAGGGATCAATAGAAAGTTAGGATTAAACTTGCGTTGCCACAATGAAATTGGAACGTTACCCCTAACATTTTATTAATTAATGTTCTTTAACAATAGAACATACAGTTGTGTTCAAAATAATAGCAGTGTGTTAAAAAAAGTGAATAAAGCTCAAAATCCTTCTAATAGCTTTTATTTCCATACACACAAATGCATTGGGAACACTACACATTCTATTCCAAATCAAAACATGAAGAAAAATATATCAAATTTGTGTTGTTCCTCTAAAAAAATTGAAGAAAAGTGAATATTAGACTGTTCAAAAAAAAAAAATAGCAGTGTTTTGTATTCTTTTTAAAACTCAAACATTCACTATATAAACTGAAAAATGTTTGAAGATTTTGCTTTCCTTTGAATCACTTAATTAATATTTAGTTGTATAAGCACTGTTTCTGAGAACTGCTGTACATCTGTGTTGCATGGAGTCAACCAACTTCTGGCACCGGTGAACAGGTATTCCAGCCCAGGATGACTGGACTGCATTCCAAAGTTCTTCTCTATTTCTTGGTTTTGCCTCAGAAACTGCATTTTTGATGTCACCCCACAAGTTTTCTATTGGATTAAGATCCAGGGATTGGGCTGGCCACTCCATAGAGTCAATCTTGTTGGTCTGGAACCAAGATGTTGCACGTTTACTGGTGTGTTTGAGGTCGTTGTCTTGTTGGAACACCCATTTCAAGGGCATTTCCTCTTCAGCATAAGGCAGCATGACCTCTTCAAGTATATCTGATGTATTCAAACTGATCCATGATCCCTGGTATGCAATAAATAGGCCCACCACCGTAGTATGAGAAACATCCCCATATCATGATGCTTGCGCAACCATGCTTCACTGTCTTCCCAGTGTACTGTGGCTTGAATTCAGTGTTTGGGGGTCGTCTGACAAACTGTCTCCGGCCACTAGACCCAAAAAGAACAATCTTACTTTCATCATTCCACAAAATGTTGCGCCATTTCTCTTTAGGCCAGTCAATGTGCTCTTTGGCAAATTGTAACCTCTTCAGCACATGTCTTTTTTTTCAACAGTGGGACTTTGCGGGGGCTTCTTGCAGATAGCTTGGCTTCACATTGGCGTCTTCTAATTGTAACAGTACTCACAGGTACCTTTAGACCTTCTTTGATCTTCCTGGAGCTGATTGTTGGCTGAGTCCTTGCCATTTTGGCTATTCTTCTATCCATTCAAATGGTAGTTTTTCACTTTTTTCCAAGTCTTTCAGGTTTTGGTTGCCATTTTAAAGCATTTGCGATCATTTTAGCTGAGCAGCCTATCATTTTCTGCACTTCTTTATATGTTTTCCCCTCTCCGATCAACTTTTTAATCAAGGTACGCCGTTCTTCTGAACAATGTCTGGAACGACCCATTTTCCTCAGAATTTCAGAGAGAAATGCACTGTAACCAGAATGTACAACATTTGCTACCTTCCTTCTTTAAATAAGGGCAATAATTGCCACCTGTTTTTCAAAGAATGAATGACCTCACTAATAGAACTCTACACTGCTATTATTTTGAACATAACCCTTTCAATTAGTGATTCAATTACACAGAATCAGCAGCATGCATGTCATGACTGTTGGGTCTGTTGGATCTCTATTACTCTACTACACCTGCTAGTAAATTATTTGCCATGTAGAAATATCATTTCTACCAAAAACAGTGAATGATCAGGTTAGTGATGTCTGACTGCTATTATTTTGAACACAAAATAATTATGCCCCCAAAATTAGTGTGTTCTGTAATTTTCCTCCTGCACGGTTCCTGTTTCTTCTTGTTGGAGGCTGCCATTTTGTTGAAGCCCAGAGCAGTCACTTCGTTATTGTAAACTCTCCCCTTTCCTTGGTCTCAGAAACGATGTCACAATTAAAATACAGTGGGGATCGAAAGTTTGGGCACCCCAGCTAAAAAATTGTATTAATGTGCATAAAGAAGCCAAGGAAAGATGGAAAAATCTCCAAAAGGCATCAAATTACAGATTAGACATTCTTATAATATGTCAACAAAAGTTAGATTTTATTTCCATCATTTACACTTTCAAAATAACAGAAAAAATGGCGTCTGCAAAAGTTTGCACCCTGCAGAGTTAATATCTTGTTCTGCCCCCTTTGGCAAGTATCACAGCTTGTAAACGCTTTTTGTAGCCAGCCAAGAGTCTTTCAATTCTTGTTTGAGGTATCTTTGCCCATTCTTCCTTACAAAAGTCTTCCAGTTCTTTGAGATTTCTGGGCTGTCTGTCACACACTGCTCTTTTAAGGTCTATCCATAGATTTTCAATTATGTTGAGGTCAGGAGATTGTGAAGGCCATGGCAAAACCTTTAGTTTACGCCTCTTGATGTAATCCCCCGTGGATTTTGAGGTGTGTTTAGGATCATTATCCATTTGTAGAAGCCACCCTCTCTTTAATTTCAGCTTTTTCACAGATGGCATCAAGTTACCATCCAAAATTTGCAGAAATTTTATTGAATCCATTTTTCCTTCTACTCGTGAGATGTTCCCTGTGCCACTGGCTGCAACACAACCCCAAAGCATGATTGATCCAACCCCATGCTTAACAGTTGGACAGAGGTTCTTTTCATTAAATTCTGTGCCCCTTCTTCTCCAAACGTACCTTTGCTCATTCCGGCCAAAAAGTTCAATTTTAACCTCATCGGTCCACAGAACTGGTTTCCAAAATGCATCAGGCTTGTCTATATGTTCATTTGCAAAGTTCAAACGATGATTTTTGTGGTGAGGACGTAGAAGAGGTTTTCTTCTGATCACTCTTTCATGAAGACCATATTTGTACAAGTATCTCTTTATAGTGGAATAGTGTACCACAACTCCAGTGTCTGCCAGATCTTTCTGGAGGGATCGTGCAGTCAAACGTGGTTTTTGAATTGTTCTCTCACAATCCTGCGAGCTGTTCTGTCTGATATTTTTCTTGGTTTTCCAGATCTTGCTTTAACTTCCACTGTTCCTGATGACTGCCATTTCTTAATTACATTCCGAACAGAGGATATTGACATCTGAAAACGCTTTGCTATCTTCTTATAGCCTTCTCCAGCTTTGTGAGCATCACTATTTTCAGTTTCAGTTTTCTAGACAACTGCTTAGAAGAACCCATGGTGCTGATTGTTGGGGCAAGGTCAGATGAGTCTGGGCATTTAAAACCTTTGAGATTGACATCACCTGGTCTTCCCAGACGATGATTGAGAACAATCCATGACACTGGCAGGTCTCAGCTTGGCAAAGGGGGCAGTGCATGCTATAAATTCTGCAGGGTGCCCAAACTTTTTCAGACACCATTTTTTTGTTTTCTGTTATTTTGAAAGTGTAAATGATGGAAATAAAATCTAACTTTTGTTGACATATTATAAGAATGTCTAATCTGTAATTTGATGCCTTTTGGAGATTTTTCCATCTTTCCTTGGCTTCTTTATGCACATTAATACAAATTTTTAGCTGGGGTGCCCAAACTTTCGATCCCCACTGTATATACATACAGGTATGTACATTTCTAGCAGAGTTTGTCCTGTCACCTCTCCTGCTTTTTTTTTAATCTCCTTCCCTAATGTGTGTTTCCTCCGCACAGACTGTGTCATGCCTATTGCTTTCTTCCCTGTTCAGCAACACTAAATCTTAAAGCTGTCAGCTGATCAGCCTGAAGTGGCTGCGATTTTAGGCACAGTGCTAAGAATAGAGAGCTACTGAGCATGTGCAAAGACAGAGCAAGGTGAGACAGTGTATTACGGGATTTTAAACAGTATAGGCACTTATTTTTAATGTTTAATTTTTAATGTTTTACATAGCTATACCTGAAAAAGGGGCACGCATGAAGTGATCTAGCAGGACTTTAGTTTATACACTTTGTAATTAAAAGTGGAGTGTTCTTTTCATGTAGGCCATGCCAAGTATGTCTGCGGTAAAGTCTATATTACTGCCCACGTGCGTGTGTGTGTATACACTATCTATTCTATGTGGTTCCCATTGTGGGTCTTAGATGCAGTACAGAAATGATACCAGCTAACATGCTGTTTGCCACACAAGTTTGTACTTGCTATTATGTCTAGTGGTTACTGGAATATTATAGCGTACACATTTAGAACCTAACTGTTGGATTTAGTAGCTTTCCTAAGTCAGTAAGGAAACCTTAAATTACCAGATTTCAATTAATGTACAAGGACTGCTAAATCTGTAAATTACATATGAGACACTGAGAGAGTTTGGAGGGGATTGCTTGCCACAAAGAGTACCTCTTATTCATATGTTACTCTCTGGAGCACAAAATTATGACTTTGCCAAGCAGCCCCAGTTTGTGTTTATTTACCATGGTAACCATTATGCTTGATAAAAACCATGTGTCAGATTACTGGTCAGTGCCAAACTAAAGGAAGAAAATAGCACTAACTTCTATTTCCTGAGCTTTAGAAATATTTTCAGTTTGGTTTGATGCTGTTGCTGTGGTGTTGCCATTTTGTATAACCATTGTCATTTATATTGCAGCATTTTAAAATATACCTGTCATTAGAGAAATATGAGTGCCTTTGCTGACCCCTGCTTGTAAAAATGCTAGTTCCCTTCCTGTTTTGCTGTTTTGCCTTTAAAGCTTTCTGAATAAAGTATAGAGAAATAAATTCTGGCATTTCTCTGACTTTCATTTGCTGCATGCTAGTTTCTCGCCTGAGACTCAGAAGTATTCAGATTCAACCAGGCAGCTAGCATTCTCAGAAGTAGGCCAGCAATTGCAGCTATCGTATTCTATAATTTTTATAGAATATACATTATGTACAGAAACCACCTTGTTTTTCTGGTTGAAGATTTCAGTGTATCAAAGTATGGACAATGTTTTATTCCTTAAACCTTTATTGGTGTGATTTCTTCTCTACAGTTAGCAAGAGCAACTGTGCGGGACCCAAAAACTGGAGTTCTCACCACAGCCAGTTATAGAGTTTCAAAGAGGTAGGATGACATGCATATAATTTTATGAATACATTTTTGTTTTAATCTTTCCTACATGGTATAGACCTTATTTTTCATTTTACAATGGACAGACCATAGATGGAGGAGCATTTTTTTTAAATATAATATGAATCTGTTGTCTTATCAAGTTATCACAATCACTGTTTTTTTTCTTTTTTGTCCATTGAGAGACATTGGGGTCATATTGATGCCTACAGGAGGATTGGAAACTGCAAATTAAAACTGTAGGCCAGACCAGGATAACCACTACCACTATCAGCATGCTTCAGTTTTTTGCAAGCATCATATAAAGATGGACACCTTTTCTTTAGCTTTGCTTTGTTATATACTAACCTATTTTTTGCTATCATTTTTTCTTATTCTTTTGATTTTTATTTTTTTTCAATTAAGAATTCCACTCTATTTTTCTAGAAGAGGTTGTCTCTGCAATTGCAGCAATCTGGTGTGGTCGTCCTCAGCCTGACTTTTAAAGTACCACACCCAAACCATGTTGGACTGCACATTGTCGGGAAAGCCTGGAAGTAACCCTTAGGCGCTGGGTTCTATGTGAGGCACTTTCCAGACTCCATTCTGGTAAAAGTTTGCTGCAGAGCATTGTACAGGTCCATAGCTAGCTGTTGGCATTGTCTCAGCACCTGCCCTGTTTTTGAAAACTCGGTGAGTAGGCTAGGCAAACTGAGCACTGGGAGCTACTTCTTTATATAGGTCGCTGGAAGCCTTTTGAAATTCCCAGTTTTCTACCACAAAAGAGGTTAATATTCTGGGATTGAGTGCCGACATAATCTCCTGGGAGGACTGTCATGTGCACATGCTCCAAGCCCTCCCCCCCCAAACAGCTCAGAGGAAGCAGCTCCCTGCCTGTACGAGCCATGTGAAACTGTGATCTTTAATCAATTCCTGCTGCCGTCTACAGGGACTTTTTGGTAACTTATGGCCCTTTGACCATCACTTGATACTAGCTGTCCGATTTTGTGAGGGCTTGCTTCTTACCCCAAGCCTTGCTTTGCTTTACTGATTTACTGTGCAGTCCCACCATGTCTAATTCTACATATGGCAGAGACAGTTCTGCTGTACCAGTGCCCCCAACACATATTCTAATGCCTCTGGGATCGCTTGCAGCATGGAGTCCTGTTGCCCTCTGCTCCTAGGGTCTTTCCTGTTATTGAAGTCCTTGGTAAAATCATCTGGTATAGCTGGATCAGTCAACAATTATTTTCAATGTTGTCAATTCCTCAGTTGGACTGCTTTTTGACATCCTGAAGAACAAAGGCTTCCTGTGGCCTCCCAGTGGGCAAGAGAAATTTTTCTTGAAGTCCCTTTTTCAAATGTTTTTTTATTGAAGAAATCGTGGTCATGCAAATAAAGATAAAGCATTTAAACTAACAGCATTAAGTAGTCAAGTCCATGCACATAAACATAAGGCAACACAGAGAAAAAAACTAAATCAAAATATGGATGGGCACATACAGTGCCTTGAAAAAGTATTCATACCCCTTAAACTTTTCCACATTTTGTCATGTTACAACCAAAAACATAAATGTATTTTATTGGGATTTTATGTGCTAGACCAGTGGTGGGCAACCTTTTTTTTCAACTGAGCCAAATCTCGCCAAAACCATGATTGAAATTTATTTTGAGAGCCACATTTTTAAAACTGAAAATACATCTCCCATATAGTAATTCATCCCCCATAGTAATTCATCCCCCATATAGTAATTCATCCCCCATAGTGTAATTCATCCCCCATAGTAATTCATCCCCCATATAGTAATTCATCCCCCATATAGTAATTCATCCCCCATATAGTAATTCATCCCCCATATAGTAATTCATCCCCCATATAGTAATTCATCCCCCATAGTAATTCATCCCCCATATAGTAATTCATCCCCCATAGTAATTCATCCCCCGTATAGTATTTCATCCCCGTATAGTATTTCATCCCCCGTATAGTAATTCATCCCCCCATATAGTATTTCATCCCCCCATATAGTATTTCATCCCCCCATATAGTATTTCATCCCCCCATATAGTATTTCATCCCTCATATAGTATTTCATCCCCCCATATAGTATTTCATCCCCCCATATAGTATTTCATCCCCCATATAGTATTTCATCCCTCCTATAGTATTTCATCCCTCCTATAGTAATTCATCCCCCCTATAGTAATTCATCCCTCGTATAGTATTTCATCCCCCCATATAGTATTTCATCCCCCCATATAGTATTTCATCCCTCATATAGTATTTCATCCCTCATATAGTATTTCATCCCCCCATATAGTATTTCATCCCCCCATATAGTATTTCATCCCCCCATATAGTATTTCATCCCCCATATAGTATTTCATCCCTCCTATAGTAATTCATCCCCCCTATAGTAATTCATCCCCCCTATAGTAATTCATCCCCCCTATAGTAATTCATCCCCCCTATAGTATTTCATCCCTCATATAGTAATTCATCCCTCATATAGTATTTCATCCCTCATATAGTAATTCATCCCTCATATAGTAATTCATCCCTCATATAGTATTTCATCCCCCCATATAGTATTTCATCCCTCATATAGTATTTCATCCCCCACAGTACTATTCCCCCCCCCCCTTCTAGTAACCAAGTCCCCCGTGTCAATTCACTTACCTTTCCTCTCGCTGTCTTCCCGCGCCGTTCGGGTCTTCAGGGCGGACTGTGAGGAGCCTAGCTCCCCTCCCCTCACGTTCGGCACGCTGCCCCGCCTACACACATCCTGACAGCCACATCCGCGGGCCGGATTAAAAGGTCCGCGCGGACTTTTGGGGCGGCCAACCGAGAGGAGGCAGGGGAGCGGCCGACCGAGAGGAGGGAGGGGAGCAGGCGCCCGGCACACAGAAGAGCCGCATTAGAGTGGGTAAAGAGCCGCATGTGGCTCGCGAGCCGCGGCTTGCCGACCACTGTGCTAGACCAACACAAAGTGGCATATAATTGTGAAGTGGAAGGAAAATACTAAATGGTTTTCAACATTTTTTACAAATAAATATCTGAAAAGTGTGGCGTGCATTTGTATTCAGCCCCCCTGAGTCAATACTTTGTAATACCAACTTTTGCTGCAATTATAGCTGCAAGTTTTTTTGGGGTATGTCTCTACCAGCTTTGGACATCTAGAGAGTGACATTTTTGCCCATTCTTCTTTGAAAAATAGCTCATGATCTGTCAGATTGGATGAAGAGTGTCCGTGAACAGCAATTTTCAAGTCTTGCCACAGATTCTCAATTGAATTTAGGTCTGGACTTTGACTGGGCCATTCTAACACATGAATATGCTTTTATCTAAAACATTCCATTGTAGCTCTGGCTGTATGTTTAGAGTTTGTTGTCTTGCTGGAAGGTGAACCTCCGGTCTCAAGTCTTTTGCAGACTCTTAACAGGTTTTCTTTTAAGACTGCCCTGTATCTGGCTCCATCCATCTTCCAATCAAATCTTACAAGCTTCCCTGTCCCTGCTGAAGAAAAGCATCCCACAACATGATGCTGCCACCACCATGTTTCACGGTGGGGATGGTGTGTTCAGGGTGATGTGCACTGTTATTTTTTCACCATTCTTCCACATGTTTACTGGGCTTCTTATGCCTTTCTTTCAACAATGGCTTTCTTCTTGCCACTCTTCCATAAAGGCCAGATTTTTGGAGTGCACGACTAATATTTGTCCTGTGGACAGATTCACCCACCTGAGCTGTGGATCACTGCAGTTCCTCCAGAGTTACCATGGGCCTCTTGGCTGCTTTTCTGGTTAATGCTCTTCTTTCCCGAATACAAATGCAAGCCACACTTTTCAGATATTTATTTATAAAAAAATTGAAAACCATTTATCATTTTCTTTCCATTTCACAATTATGTGTCACTTTGTGTTGGTCTGTCACATAAAATCCCAATAATATACATTTATGTTTTTGGTTGTAGCATGACACAATGTGGAAAATTTTAAGGGGTATGAATACTTTTTCAAGGCACTGTAAAGAACCAGTATTGAGAAAAAAACAACTGGCAAAAGAAAACAGTACAGCTTTAAATAAGAAAAATGTTTATAACATGGTTCACAACACAAGGCATTTCCTGAACAGCCAACCATGGATCCCAGATTTTGTACTTGGCTGGACAGCTTCTATGTACATAAGTGAGTTTTGTATATGGAAGAGTGGAATTAACTTCATGGACCTAATTTTGAAACACTGGGGGAAGTGCCTGCATCCAAGAGCGGGCGATCAGTTTCCAAGCAACAAAAAACCTCCCTTGAGGGGCACAGGTTCCCATCCCTCTGTGTTTTATTATCATGCTATTGGTACTGCTTTGCTACAAAGCTGAGGCATACTGATAGTGGTTGTATTTGTTTTAGGCTCCTGTACAGTATTTTTATTTGCCAGTGTCCAATGTTCCTGCATGGGGACAGTATAACCCAAATAATAAAGACTTCATGTGTCTCTTGATGAACTCTTAGGAAAAGGATTTTACAGTACAAATACATATATTCTGTTTGTCATGGAAAAAATTACTGATATGAAAATACTTTAAAAGCCCTAATTATTATTTTAATACACCAGCATGAATCATTTCATGACAAATCTGCAAATTTGTCATATAAATGATAGACCCTGGATTATACTTCTCTCTCTATCCCCACTGCAATCTACACTTCTGATGAACAGTCCTTGTAAAGGTAGGGAGGCTGTGTATCTGCTCTACTGCTAATACTATGCTCCCAGCTATAGTCTACCGTGGAGAGCCTGTCTTCATGTATACATGCACATTTGGGCCTTATCATATGACTGTGATGCACACTTATAATTTTATCATTTCAAATTATAGATATTTGTTTTAAATCTTCACTCAGTCAGCACAAGAAGAAAACATAGGAAGATATTAGGTCATAACATTTAGGGCAAGATCAGCAGGTATTATTTTTTATTTTTTTTTTAAATTCTGTGTTTTTTTTCTTTGTTTTTGTTTTTTTTCTTGTTCCTTCTAACCTCAATAAACAGGTATACATTTCTCATTATGCCTCCTATTGAAACTATTAGTCACTTCCATCTAACCAATTGCTTAGTCCTCTAAACTTCCCATGTTTGTTAACCGTGTTTTTGATTCTGTGTAGTGCCTGGTTGGAAGAATATGATGACCCAGTTATTGCTCGTGTTAACAAACGCATGCAGGACATTACAGGGCTAACTGCTGATACTGCTGAACTGTTACAGGTAAAATCAATCTATCGTTATTATGCAGTATTTAGGCTCAGATGCATATACTATACATTCCCAAAGTCCCCATGTTATTATAAAACCTAGATAAATTTCCTTTGGAGAAGGGATAAGATAGCTTAAAGGGTATCTCCACTTTCATGGCAAAAAATGTAGTAAATTAAAAAAAAAAAAACACATACAGTTGCTACACAAACCATATTGTAAATTAACCTTATTAAAAATGATCTTTTCAATCTGTAATTTGTTATACCATTAAATGCAATATGGCATCTGTGTACAGTTGGTGTGCAGAACACCGCCAAAAATGTAATTTCCTGCTTTGGTAAAGAACTCTGCACTAAGTCAGGTTTTTGGCATTCTCTGCAACAGAAATTAAATTTTTTTCGTTAGACGTTCCCAAAGGGTTAATCACTAGCAATGGGATGCAGACATTGCTACTCATTAGAGCATTGCAAGTGTATCAGCTGATCAATAATGAAAATCACTCCCATTCAGAAGACATGATCTAAAAAATAGCTAATTCTTCAGAGCAGAAACTGTTTTGGATGTGATCACTTACCGGCCACAGCTGTTGTGATCTACCAGTGAGCCTAATTAATGTGAGAATATGTACACGTGGAAGTAAAACACTGGCACAGAATGCAGTTTGCCTACTTCCTAATTTCTACTTTATTGAGGAAATAACAGTAACATTTATAAGTCTCATGACGCAGGCGAAGCATATACGATGATTGGGTGAAAAGTCCCCTAGGTTTCCTGCATGTTCTTCCATCCATGTTGATATCTTCCAATCATTGTCACCAAAACGACTCATTCCCTTTTATGGGGGTTGTTTACATTAAAAGATACTTTTCTTCTAATGAGTCACCTAGGGTGAGACTCCGGATGAAGGCGCCATCTTAATTATCATTGTTCCTTTGCCCTATATCTGATTGTTTTCTTAAGAGAGTAAGGAATTTAGAGAGCAAGAAGCAGAGTAGCAAGACTATAAAATTGTCATTTTACTGATCATCTAATAGAACATGGGCTGTCTATCACAATCCACTACAAACGGGTGGAAATCTGCAATAGTTTGATACATTTTTGCATTGTACGTTAAACAGTAGCTCCGCGTTTGTTGATAAAAACAGACTTCCTTCTAAGTGATTAAGCATTACTTGTTTATGAGCCTCAGGACTCTGACCCTGCTTCTTTGCTCATTGCCCTTGTGGTGGTACCACGTGTTTTTTTTTTTTTTTTTTTTTTATGGAAGAAAGAAAACACAATAGTAAACACATTTAGGTAAATTATTTTGTTTTCTATCCTCTGATTCACCTGTAACCTATGGGAATAGATGTATGTAATTTATAACATTCACCTTCCTTCTATTTCCCATAGACTGTTAACTAGGCCTCTCCTAAAATCCATTTACTCCAGGTTCCATCGTGTGTCTAACATATTTATTTAGTACCTCAGCAAACATTTTGATGTCACCAGGAGAAGAAGCAAAGGAAAATCTCCCCAATAGAGAAATTACAGCAATGCTACTTTTACATGGATAGAAAAAGTTAGAGCCTTCATCAGCATGTTTTTTTTTTTTCTTGTTTGTTTGTGGTCTGTGTTTGTCAAGGTCCTACATTTTCCCAGAGGTTATGTTACTCCATGTGCTAGCATCCATCTTGGATTTCTGCTGAGCATGATGAGAATCTTTTATGCCTTCAGGTCTCTGAGGTCCATCCCCCAGAGGGGTGTGGCTGAGTACATATAAGCCTGGGATCTGAACATGCTCTTTGCACTTGTGTCTTGTGTCTTTGTCTTGCTACAGCTCTGTGTATACGCTCGTGACTCTTCTGGTATTCTGACTCGGCTTGTACTAAGACCATTCTCTGTGTTTCCCTTTGATCTGACCTTCCGTTGCTGAACCCCGCCCGTGACCTGTGATTCTCTGTCTACTGTTCTGTACTGTTTTGTCCCGTTGTTATTGACCCGGCTTGTCTGACTACGCTATTGTCATTCTCACCAGCTACACGCCATTGGCGGCGGCCATTACCGCAGCTGGGGTGTCTCGGGGGCCGCCACCTGGTCCCTGGTTGCGTCAAGTCCATCCCCACCATCAGGGGCCCTGGTGAAGGGCAGCCTGGGACTTAGACTCCGCGCCCTGAGGGACTTCAGTCTGTTGGTGGTGGTTGTCGTCAGCCAGTGCGTTACCCTGCCACTAGGCCTACCTGTCCGTTCCACAGCCCTGCCCTGACAGTGTTCTGTGGGATTTTTCCTTTTATTTACTGTCCCAATGACCATTTGTTTTTAATAGACAAGTAAGTTAAAGTAAGGGGAAAATCTTGCAGGTCCTCAAAAAGCAATATCATCTAACAGATGTTCTAACTATTCTCAACTGTATGCAAAACTTAAACAAGGTTTCAGCTAGAGTTAGGCTTCATGTACACAGGGTGTTTGAAAAACTTCAATTTATTTTGTAGAAGACCCCCAACAGATGGAATACTGAGGTGTAAAAACATACACAACATAGTACATTAGGTGTGAGTGAAGAAGCTTTAACTGATGTAAAAAGATCCTCCTCTTGTTGTTCCACAGGACATTCATCCCTTGGAATCCTGACGTGTTTCAGATAATTATCTTTCCTCAGGGGTATATAACAGAGGAGGACAAAAAAAAAAAAAAAGAGGTTCTAAAACATAACAATTCACAGTAAATACATTACAGTACACACCATCCTAACTGTACAAAAGCATAACATGTGTAGCCATGATACAAATTAAAAAAAGCTGCCTATCATTGTCTGCCAAAGCCCAGAAGTACGCTGGTGAAGAAGAGATCCACAGACAGCCAAAAGCGCACACCACACTGAAGAAAAAAAAGGAACCATAGATAGAGCTGAACTTCAAGATGGTCTAAAGTCATAAGATTCCCACACTGTACTGCAGGATATTGGGTCTATATTATAATAATACAATGCACAAAGAAAGAGTTCACAGATTAGGATTACGTAGTTCAAATGTTGTACATAGAGTTTCAGTGTCGATAAACTGCCAGGTCACCTATGGATGTTTGGTGGCAAGGAAGCCTAACAGAGCAGTTCTGTGTTTAAATAATATGGCACGGGACACCTACGCATGTGCAGTAGATAGCGACCATCACATATGTGCAGCGATGGTTGTTATAGTGACCTCCTGAGCTGAGGGTGTGTGTGCCACCCCACATGGACAGAATGCTGTCACGCATCGTCGGCTCACCGGCATGCCTGATGGGAGCCCCAAAAATCAGGCAAGGAGGGACACAAAGCCTGCAATAGCAGGCAAGATGGAAAAGTAATTCGCACACAGGATTTTCCAATTGCATCGCACTTCAAAAACGACAATCATTATGTAAAGAGACACCCATGAGTACAGATACAAGGGAAAGCCTTACTAACCTATCATCTAACAATAGTAAACTTAGTATTGTCAATTTTTCCAGCTATATCCTCTCCCCTGAAGAAATAAAACCACTTACAAAAGGTTTAAGTTTTTGTCCAAAGCAGAAGTTTGAAATTTTATAAGATCTACAATTGTTTGCCTGCAACCTATTGCTCAAAAGTACCAATTCTAAAGACCAGCCCAAAATAACCCTAAATTAAAGTTGACACAATATGATCAAGCATTTGAGGACCTAATGGCCCTGTTAAACGAACAACCAGTCAATCTGATTGCTCATTTGGATATTGAGTCCGTATTAGAACAGCAAACTGAAAGGGAGGACTCATCATTTAAACCATCCCACTTAAAGAAAAAGTCTGATAAATTCCTTTCACCTAGTATAAATCCAAATATAACAGTTTTTCTGACCTTGATTACAAAAGATAAATGAATTTAAGATTGTTAATTCACCTAACAATCTTACAGAACCAGAAAGACAAGCTCTCAAAAAACTAGCAAGTCGTCGCAACCTTACAATTAAACCATCTGATAAAGGTGGCAATATAGTAATTATGAGCAATAATCAGTATAAACAAAATTAGTTTTAAGGGTCAGAATCAGGAATGGTATCATCCCATTTCACAATGTAGGGAATTTATTCATACAAGCCATCCCAAAATCCCTACTTTTTACACTCTCCCCAAGGTTCACAAAGACCTCAAGAACCCTCCTGGGAGACCTATAATCTCAGGTCGTGCCTCCCTCACTGAAAACCTTACCTGCTCATCAACAAAGCGACTAAGACCATATGTGACCACTCTCTGCTCTTATATTCAATATACTATCCATCGCCTACAGAATCTGGAAGGGGTTCAGTTTTCCAATTAATCCATTTTGGTAGCCATTGACTTGGAGGCACTTTTTAGTTCCATCCCACATCATAAAGGCCTTGCAGCAATCAAACACATTCTCTCTCAAAGACATAGGCGAGATTGACCACTAAATGAATTTATCGGCAGCACTGGAGTACATTTTTACACATAACATCTTCACTTCCAAAAAAATTTTCCAAAAATACTGACATCTCTTGCTAATCCCACTTTGAGTCCCCACATCCCAGAATATCCCAGAATAATATATCAAGGAGCAAAATCCATTAGAAACTATCTTGTCCATAGTACATCCGTGGGAGAATTCAGAACTAAAATCTAGTGGAACCAATTGTAGAAGTCAACTAATTAGTAAATAGAGTCCACCTGTGTGTCATTTAATCTCAGTATGAATACAGCTGATCTGTGATGCCCTCAGAGGTTTTGATTAGAGAACATTAGTGAACAAACAGCATCATGAAGGCCAAGGAACACACCAGACAGGTCAGGGATAAAGTTGTGGAGAAGTTTAAAGCAGGGTTAGGGTATGAAATAATATCCCAAGCTTTAAACATCTCACAGAGCACTGTTAATCCATCATCCAAAAATGGAAAGAGTGTGGCACAACTGCAAACCTACCAAGACTTGGCCGTCCACCTAAACTGACAGGCCAAGCAAGGAGAGCATTCATCAGAGAAGCAGACAAGAGGCCCATAGTAACTCTGGAGAAGCTGCAGAGATCCACAGCTTAGGTGAGAGAATCTGTCCACAGGACAAATATTAGTCGTGCACTCCACAAATCTGGCCTATATGGCTTAAAGAAAGCCATTGTTGAAAGAAAGTCATAAGAAGTCCCGTTTGCTGTGTCCCAAACATGACTTCTTGCAAACTGCAAACATATGAAAGGTGCTCTGGTCAGATGAGACCAAAGTTGAACCTTTTGGCATAAAAGCAAATCACTATGGGGTTGGTTTACTAAACTTGGAGAGTGCAAAACATGGTGCAGCTCTGCACCATAGAAACCAATCAGCTTCCATGTTTTCTTGTAAAAGCTTAATTTAACAAGCTGAAGTTACAATCTGATTGGGTACCATGTACAGCTGCGCCAGATTTTGCACTTTCTAGTTTTAGTAAATCACTCCCTATGTGTGGCAGAAAAATAACACTGCACATCACCCTGAACACACCATCCCCACCGTGAAACGTGGTGGCAGCATCATGTTGTGGAGATGCTTTACTTCATCAGGGACAAGGAAGCTGGTCAGATTTGATTGGAAGATAGATGGAGCCAACTACAAGGTAATTAAAGTCTGCAAAAGACTTGAGACTGGGGCAGAGGTTCACCTTCCAGCAGTACAACGGCCCTAAATATACAGCCAGAGCTACAATAGAATGATTTAGATCAAAGCATATTCATGTGTTAGAATGGCCCAGTCAAACCCCAGACCTAAATCCAATTGAGAATCTGTGGCAAGACTTGAAAAGTGCTGTTCACAGATGCTCTCCATCTAATCTGCACATCTGGAGAGTGACATTTTTGCCCATTCTTCTTTGCAAAATAGCTCAAGATCTGTCAAAGCTGGTAGAGACATACCCAAAAAGACTTACAGCTGTAATTGCAGCGAAAGGTGGTTCTAAAAAGTATTGACTCCGGAGAGCTGAATATAAATGCACACCACACTTTTCAGGTATTTATTTGTAAAAAAATGTTGAAAACCATTTATCATTTTCCTTCCACTTCACAATTATGTGCCATTTTGTGTTGGTCTATCACATAAAATCCCAATAACATACACTTACGTTTTTGGTAGTAACATGACAAAATGTGGAAAAATTCAAGGAGTATGAATACTTTTTCAAGGCACTGTAGACCTAATATCCTGCAGTACAGTGTGGGTGTGTTATAGCTTTTAGACTATCTTGAAGTTCCGCTGTACCCTTTTTGGTTTCTTTTTTTTTTTTTCTTTTCATCTTTTTAGCTCGGTCGGGGTTGGTTTCTACTGGTGACCTCAGTGTGGTGCTATCTTGGCTGGCTGGGGGTCTCATCACCAGCGCACTTCTGGATGTTGGCTGACAATAACAGGTTGCTTTTAATTTGCATCATGGCTACACTTATGCTTTTGTACAATTAGCATGTATGTACTCTATGATCCTTGCACACATTATATCCCATACATTTTGATACTGTAATGTATTTACTGTGATTTGTTTTGTTATAGAATCTTTTTTTGTATTCCTCCTCTGTTATATACCCCTGAGAAAAGATAATAATCTGAAATGCGTTTCCAACAGATGAATGCCCATTGGAACAACAAGAGGAGGTTCTTTTTACATCAGTTATAGCTTATTCCCTCGCATCTAATGTAGCCACTATGTTGTGATTTTTATGAAACTGATGAATTTGTAGTATTGTATTCAAATAAAGCTTTTTGTATTTTACCTCCGTATTCCATCTGTTGCCCTTAAAGTCCCATGTCCAAATATTGGGGTCTTCCGATCTTTATGTATAAATATGGGATGTTGGCAACGATTTAAGGACACAAGCTGGTGATATTTGTATTTGGCCATTTATTTTGTATGTATATTGCCTCTTACAGGTTGCAAATTATGGCATGGGAGGCCAATATGAGCCGCATTTTGATTTTTCAAGGGTAAGTGAATAATAGGATGTGCACGATGCATGGTATTTAACCTTTCTAGGAGTGGTGTTGTAGGTTCTACCCAAGTTATGTTCATTTAAATAGCATATAAAGCGCTGAGCAAACTGTAGGTGTTTTATAAATCCTGCATTATAATAATGTTTACATGTAAGAAAATGCACATATGGGATCTGTATAAAACACTCTTTGGAAACATGTTGGAAAATCATTGCATGCAATAATGAGCTTTCTGACATGTAATTGCTTTGTTGGTAACCCATACCAAATGGTTGCTTGATTTTTATCAGGCCATGCCTGGTCATCCTTATTTACTTTGGTAGCTTGTCATGCAAGCTGCTGCTGTGTCTTAGCTACCAGAATTCTGACCTATGGGTTCCATAATAGTATCTTATGCATACAATGCATGCAGTTATTAATAAATATGGCTGGTAAAGGGCATATAGGTTTTTCAAATATATTATCTTTGGTTTCTACACAGCTACGTTGATTGCAGCCAATTAAATGGTTTCTGAGAAATAACTAAGTCTGAATGTAGCCATAACTATGTCTTAATATAGTTCATACACTCACGCACTTGGTCCTGGCAGTCCTCTGGCATTACATTGCTTATTTTCTGGGCAGAGATATAATGAGCCTTCAGCATCTACTATATCTGGAGAGCCAATACTTCATGCACACTTTTACATCTGGCTTTTTGGAAGTCCAAATTTACCAGTTTAAAGCTTTCCATGGAAAATAGTGGTCTGTGAACCAGCAACATCCACCATTTTGTTTTTATTGCCATGTTGAAAAGTCATGCGACCCTGAAGAAAGAGAAGGTTATGTGCATAGACTATTAATCAGAAATATGCATCTTAAGATAAATTAAAAAAGTAACTTAAAAAATGCATTGGCTTGCTCAACCTGTTTGTTTTATTCAGTATGTTTCTGCAGCTTACTGCTGTCACCTACTTTATATTTGTTGCATAATTTTTTAAAATACATTTTTATATCGTTAGTGGTGAGTTTCCCTAAACTTTGTTATTTCTTCAGCAACTTCCTGATTGTTTTAAAGGCAGCAGTTTGCTTTGTTTTCAAACAAGTGATAAAAAAATTATGTTTTTTCATAAATGTATTGATTTTTTTTAAGCACAGCTTGTTTACGATTTTTTTTAAGTACCGTAGTTGCCATTTTTGTGTTTGAATTATGATTTCAAGCAGAAAAGTTACAAGAAATGATGACATAAACTAAGTAGATCCCTTAAAATAACAGTAATACACTGTACATATCTAAAAACCATTTTAAAAAACTTGTCTTGAAAATGTTTTGTATTTTTGCATCCTATGTTTTTAGAGCATTGCTGAGTTTAAAATATATTGCAAGCTGTGTAAAATTCACACATTTTACAGTAGTGGCAACTTAGAAAAAAAGTATTTTCAACTGAATATGAATTCATCTGCAACATCAAAGGGACTCTGTATCAGGACAAAATCCTAAACCATTCATACAGTACAATAATTTTTGAGATTACCCTTCTTGTGCTGCCATTATGTCTTTGTGTCAAAATTTAAACTGTTTGCTAAATATGGTGGTGGTGGGTGAAGCAAGGTGCAATTTTGCTTTGCGCATAAAACTGTCTGGCTTTCTACAATTGCTTATTTAATATTTTTTCTCAGGCCTCCTACTGTTATTAAAACAATAAGATTTTGGGGGGAAATGTAAATTTCCACTGGAATTTTTTTTATGTATTTCCCCTGTCCGTGTTTTACTTATGGAGGTCATTTACACATTTCATGCACAAAATGACCACATCTGCTTAAGCAAGCTTGCCTTTTTGTACCCCTGTATTTTTGTCTGTGAGTCAATGAGCATATCTGCATTTTCCTGCTTTTTGTTTTCAGTATACCTCAAATATACAGTACAATTCTACCTAGGCAATGAAATCACATTCATCATACGTATGTATTGTCTGCCTTGTTGCCCTTTGCTTGTATAGGCTTTGAACTGTCCATTGAGTATCCTAGTGAATGTCTTTTTTTTTTTTGTTTGTTTTATTTTGTTGTTGTTGCTGTGGGCACAGTGTGAAGTCAGCCTTGCTCATCTTTTTGCCTATAACTTGTAAACTAAGATTTGGCTAAAGTTCTTTCTCCGGTAATACACATGAAGCTTAAGCACCCAGAGGTGCTTGCGCATATCTGTAGAATTCTGCTAGAGTGTCTGTCGAACTCCCAGAAGCCTAGGGTGTTTTGTTATGCAAGTGATGACTTTTTTTTTTTTTTTGGAAATTGGTATTTTGCTTCAGCCCTCCTTCATGTGAAGTTTCCCTGTTGGTCTTAGGCCATTCATCACAGTGCTGGGCCAAAAGGAGGGCTCAGGTCAACATCCTAGGTGAAGTAGATATTTACAAAACCAAGTGACTCTGGTTGCTGACCTACAGGGCAGGTCTGGAAGAGGACTTCAGATATGTGCTGTGTATATTACTGACCTAGGGCTTTATATCAACCGCATGTTTACCTTGCAAAAAGTGGAAAACCAGCATTCCATTAGTGCATGTAGCCAATGGCCGAAGTGCTGATTTGTGTATTCTGACAGGGGAGTCCCTGATGTCAGAATACAATAATGCAACCGTGGAAAATCCTGTATCCACATGGCTTGTGTGGATGCGGGAATCTGTCAGTTTTTTTTGTTCAGCCCACTAGTTGAATAAAAATCAACTCTCCATATCTACTCAGCTTAAGTCTTAACCTTTAATAATAGCATACTGGCTGGTGGGATAAAATCATCCAGTTCTAGTTTATGGCTACTACAGTTATTACATTAAAGATGAAATGTGGGCTAAACAAATACTGACTGAAGAAGCCATGTGTGCTACCTAAATCTTGATGCATCTCTGTAATCCAGTAGGAAATAACTGATGCACTTTGCCTCTGTGCAGGAGATTTCTCTTATTAGGACTGCTTTCAGCAGCAGGTAGAGTACCTACTGGGTTCTACCCACAGTTCTGCTTTCTGGCACCAATAGGAATTTCCAATAGGTAATATTTGTGACTGCAAAGGCATTTGCCGCTTACAAAGTTACGTTTGTGTCTTTCTGTGGTTATTGAGAAATATTTTTCAGTAAACATTTTTTGGGACTGGAATTACGCAATACATTTTGAGCACTAGTATTATATGTCAGTATCCAACTAATAATCACCATCAAAAATCATTTATTGTGGCTGCCCCTTAGTATGCTGTGGTGAATGGCTATAGTATACTGCTGTGCTGTCTAGAAGAGCTTAAACCAGAACATATGGCTAAAGGCTTTGCTTGCTTAAGAGTGTCATGTATTTGTTTTATTCTGCATTATCAGAGGTGTAATCTCACAAATTTGTGTTGATGTACCTCCATTGTCTTTTTTTTTTTTTTTTATGTGTCTGGACATTTTTTGCAAAGTACAATTGCATTTTTTTAATTGGTAACATAATAAATGTTATACTTTTTAAATATATATAAATATTTTTACATATTTCTGAATTCGGGTTGCAGTTAAAGTTATTGTCTGTTGCAGCGTCCCTTTGACCTCAATCTCAAATCGGAAGGAAATAGGCTTGCAACATATCTTAATTATGTAAGTACCTTGGTAAATGTTTCATGATTCTTTCAGGTCTGCAGTTTATTTTCACGTTTAATTTTGTAGAAAGAGGAACCTGATGTATTCAAGCGTTTAGGGACTGGCAATCGTGTGGCAACCTTTTTAAACTACGTAAGTATAGTATCTCCAGTACGACAGAACTGCTAAGCATGGAAAAACTGGAATGCGAAAGATGAACATCATGGTTGCCATAATGCTAAATTCAGCAAAGATGGTAAAATGTTTAAATCGTAAAACAACCCTGTTTGAACTGATGGGGAGGAGTTTGAAAAAATGTAGCTGAAGATTGTTATCATGGATGGGTAGTGTAATGGGATAGCAGTATAACATATTACCATGTATGATACGTTTTTGTTTGCATGTGTTTACAATTAATATATCACCAATATATGCAAGCACTTTTTAACCACTGACTCACAAGCCTCTTCTGACACTTCTCACATGCATGTAAAAATCTGAATTTTTTTTCCCAGATAATTACTTAGAACCCTCAAATATTATATATTTTCTGAAAGCATGTGCCCTGGAGAAAAAAAAATGTTGGTTGCTACAATTTTTTATGTCACACATTATTTGCACAGTTGTTTGTTAAATGCAATAAAAAAAAAACAAAGAAAAAACACTGTAGTGAATTTTAGTGCACACAAAATAATACCCTATTGTTTGGTGAAACATAAAAGATGATGTTACACCGAATTGTACACACCGATGAAATGGCGACAAACTGCTGTTCTAAAAATCTCCATAGCTGACTATTTAAAAACCTTTACATGTGTTACTGGTTTAGAGTTGCACAGGAGGTCTGGTGCTAGAATGATTGCTTTCGCTCTGGTGTTTGCGGCGGTGCCTCATATGTGGGGTTTTGATCGCGGTTTTTTACATAAGCGCACTGGACCAATATGCGCATTCACATTTGTACATGAACACAGGGGAATGGGGGCACTTTATTTTTTTATTTTTTTCCTATTTTATTTAAATGTATTTTTCTTACACTGTGTTTTATTTATCAACTTTATTGCTATCATAAGAGATGAACAACGTCCATTGTTATAGCTAAGGCAGTGACAGGTACTTTTTACTAAGAGATCTGGGGTCTGTCAGACCCCAGGTCTCTCCTCAGTGCAAAAGCATCTGATCAAATCAAGGCTGTGGCACAGGTCATAAGCACCCTAACTGGTCTGCAGCTATGCAGCTCCCTGCACAACAAACTGAGATGCACTGTGTGTTTTGACACCTTTCTATTGGAACTAGCATTACATTTTATAGCAATTTGAGCTGCAGTTGCTCTTTTACTGGATCAGACTACATAGGCCAGCCTTTGCTCTCCAGGTACCTCAATGACCCTTGGCCACACATAAGCCTGTCCCCAGTTTGCCAGTTTTCCTCCCGTGGACCACTTTTGGTCGGTCCTGACCACGGTAGACTATGTCCCACAAGAGCTGCAGTTTTGGAGTCTCCCTGACCCAGTCATCTAGCCATTAAAATTTGGCCCTTGTCAAAGTCACTCAAATCCTTACACTTGCCCATTTTTTCTGTTTTTGACACATCAACCTTGGGGTCAACATGTTCACTTGCTGTGTAATATATTCAACCCACTTTCAGATGCCATTGTCACAAGATAATTAATGTTATTCACATAACCCGCTAGTGGTCATTGTGACAAACGCGGTGCCCGACCCCTGCCCTTCTCACCAACTCGTGAGAACGGACCAGCCAATCTCACATCGTGCTCTCACTTGCATACCAATGCCAATCTCAGCTGCGCACTGCACAAAGATTTTCCAGCTCACCAGACCACAATGTATGTGCCAGCAGCCTGAGAGCGATTGTCACATGGTTAATTAATTATGCAATTAACCCTTCAAACACCAAACTGCCACCATATAGCTTTGGGACCATCAACCCTTCACAATGTTAGCAAGAACTGTTGTGAACAATAAACGTCTGTAACACACACTGTCACCACAGACAAGTATATTTAGAGGATTATTATATACAGTAGCACTCTGCAAGAGACAGGGATTCTTTAGTTGAATTAAAAAAAGCCTTAGAAATAGTTTTACCTATTTTCAAAATAGGGTTTATTAATGAAAAGGTCAAATGGTGCAATTAAAATATTTACAGAAAGGGATGTTACAAAGACATAAAGAGAACAATAAAGTAACAGAGAAATAAAAGTAAGAAGTTAAGAAGGCAGAATATTTGTAAAGGCCTTGGTTTTAGCAGAGTCCAATTGTCCAAGCAAAAACATTGCCTTGGTTCTCACGTCCGTTAAGATGTTCCTTGGTTGATGTTAAATGAGAGTTCCCTTGCTAGATCCGGTCAGTTCCTTTGCTATAATATCAAAGGGGTGTTGCCAGAGAGCAACTGACCAATAATCCAGTTTAAGGGATGGTTGCTAGGAGGTCACCAAATTTATGGCCAAGTCCCAGCTACAGTTTTACACTAATATTAATAACCTCCAATATGTGCAGGTGGTATTCTAGCAATTGGCAGATTAATATTTAGAATTATATTTCAAACCCAGGGATATCAAACACAGCGTACCTTTGTCACCCAGGAGGGAGGAGACTGCTTTTTTCCTTTTGGTATGTACTAACATAGTCCTGTATGACCTTGATTTGTTTGGTATGATATTCCCTATTCAAATATATACCTAATATTAATGTGTCCTGTTCCTGTTGAATTTTATGAATTGTATGTAGAATTGTTACATTGTGGAATAGACGTTTTATAGCATGCTCTGCATTCCTAGAGCCTTAGTGGCCTTACGGGTCATGTGTGACGGCTTGAGTGGGTTATTGTTTTACGATAGGGCAGAGGAAAGTGTTTTCCATGATTAGTGGAAACAGACATCCTGCCAAGACTAATTAAGATATAAGAAGAGGTTCTTTTGATGTTTGTTAAAAGGTACAGCTACAAATTTCATAGTTTGCAAGGGGAGGGGGGAGAAGGAACACTTCTCATGAAACCAAAATGCTGAGACCTTAACAAGATGGCATGTCGCATACAGCTCCATGTCTCTGTTGCACACAATCGTTACAGTCATAATGTTATGAGATATGTTGCTGGTACCATGAGGCGATACTTGGACCCTACAGAGGATGCACAGGCAGTCCAACTCCTCCAGGATGGCACATCAGTTAAGTAACAGAGGGGGTTGTTAATCAGTTTCAGCTGCTTTGGTGTTAATGAAATTACCAACAGGTGCACTAGATGGGCAACAATGAGACGACTCCCAAATTAGGAATGGTTTTACAGGTGGAAGCCACTGAAATTTTTTCCCCTACTTATCTTTTCTGACTGGTTTTTACTAGTTTTGCATTTGGATTTTGCATCAGTGTCTGGTACTACTGGTAGCATGAGGCAATACCTGGGCCCTACAGAGGATGCACAGGCAGTCCAACTCCCCCAGGATGGCACATCAATATGTGCCATTGCTAGAAGGTTTACTGTGTCTTCCAGCACAGTCTCAAGAGCATGGAGGAGATTTCAGGAGACAGGAAGTTACTCTAGGAGAGCTGGACAATGCCGTAGAAGGTCCTTAACCCATCAGCAGGACTAGTATCTGCTCCTTTGTGCAAGGAGGAACCGGATGAGCACTGCCAGAACCCTACAAAATGACCTCCAGCAGGCCACTGGTGTGAATGTTTCTGACCAATCAGAAACCGACTTCATGAGGGTGGCCTGAGGGCCCGACGTCCTCTAGTGCATTGTTTCTCAATCTTTTTCTAGTCGGGGCGCCCTTGAAAAGTATTTTCAGTCATGAGGCACCCCTATCCAAGGCTTGGTTTACATCACTGTGAAATTGCGCTCATTCCTGACACGTAGAAAAATGATCTGCTCTTTAGGGGTACCCCATACATTGGCAAACGTGGGGTGTTTTTGGTGTGGTGCAAATTTAAAACTAAGGTCAGGGACGACTTTCGCTGCATTTCTGTGGGTAAGGCAGCCCATTGAAATGAATGGGGTGCCCTACACACAGCCACAGATGTGAACCAAGGGCCTGTTTGCCTGTGAGGTTGTAGGGTGGTAAAACCACGCAATTGAGTGGCTTTCACCACCCCCAACTGCTCTCCCTTTAGCTGCAGAAACAGCAGCTGGTGTTGTACACATGCTGTTGCCACAGCTGGAGGTGTACCTCCAGGCGAATGGAGTTGAACTACAACCACCCTGCAACTCTGTGCGCATTGCACACAGTTGTGGTGTGGTGATTGATGCTGGGGTTAATCCAGGTGATGAGGCAACATATTGCCTCTTTACCACCTGTCAAATGATCCTGAAAAGCGATCTGAGCATGGATTGCTGCTATTACGAACAAGTCCTAAAAAAGCAATTATGATAGGACAGGAATAGGGGGTCGAGATTAGAAGTAAATTACAAACACACAGACACACACGTATGTACATACACACAGACACATGTACACACACACATACACATGTTCTAACACATACACACACTCGTACATACACACAGCCACATGTATACAGCATTATGAAAAGTTACAGTACCTTAGCTTCCATCACACAGGCAACTACTGCACTCTAGGGGGAAGCAGAGAGCACAGAATACACTCCCCTTCCCTTTGTTTTCACTTTTCTCAGCAGTCTGATGGCTCCCAGTGCCGACGTACAGTGCGGCTGGGGATTGGGAGTTCGGGCTCAAGTGACAGCCATTCTACCCACGGTACCCCTGAAGACCTCTGGCGGCACCCCGGTTGAGAAAGGGTGCTCCAGTGGGCCCTGTGCTCACTGCCTGGCACCATAGAGCTCAATTGGCATTTGCCATTGAACACCAGAATTGGCAAGTCCACCACTGGCACCCTGTGCTTTTCATAAATGAGAGCAGGTTCACCCTGAGCACATGTGACGGATGTGAAATGGTCTGGAAAAGCCGTGGAGAACGTTATGCTGCCTGCAACATTGTTCAGCATGACTGTTTTGGTGGAGGGTCAGTGATGGTCTAGGGAGGCATATCCATGGAGGGACGCACAGACATCTACAGGCTATACAATGACACCCTGACTGCCAGTGGGTATCAGGATGAAATACTTGGACCCATTG